CGTTCTGGAATAATCGAATGTTCAGACATTGTAGTCAAGGTTCATCTTTTTGAGTAAATCAGTGCATCGTAAACCATTTGGAAACTTCTGGCTCAGATCTCTCCAAGGCATCTCGAGTGGATCTGTAGTCGAACTGGCTTCACTTTATTGCCTAATTTAAATGTCGAGTATGTGCTACTCATCAATTGATTAAGTAGTCTTACTGTCGATCTTTTGCTCAGATTTGCTCCATAAACGCTATGTGGGAGTTTATCCAGGCTGAGTGCTAGTGCTTCAATGGTCTTCTGATACCACATCAAAGCTCGCTAAAAAATCCTCCTCTCCAATACCAATCTAACTAATTTATATAAGTTTGGCATAAGTACCATGAACTCCTATGCATCACACTTTCCTTATTATAAACAATTAATCTTAAAGGAACGTTCTCCTTGTGTATGTTTTGAAAGCCGTCGGCTGAAAATACCCTACCATCCCTTTGAGTAAGTGAATTCATATTTTACTTCTCAATTTCCCCATTGCCCACACAAAAGCTAAGCGACGTAAGTCATTTTAACAGATCATAATTTTTATAGAAAACCTAGCCTATTCATGATGACTACTGCACCGCCCCTAGCTTCCCTCAAAAGGTACAGATTATTTCAGTGCAAATATCTGAAAATCCTACTCAAGCCATAAGATTTATTTGGAATAATTGCCTGGCCAAAATGAGGAATCACTTCTCTTTCTCTATTATTCTTAACCTCTTCTGGTAGTTTGTGTGTCAAGTTAATTAATTCAACCAGTATCACCATAGCATTATTCTATTCATTTGGTATATGGGCCAAATTAATGATCCTATTTTTGCTAGAACAAATAGCATTAATAGTAGATATAAAGGCCAAGTGTTGTGGCCTCTGTCTTAGTCGAAGTCTCCTTTCGATGTATAGAAGTAAACGCACCTTGTCCAAAGTCTTCCATCATTGAAGTTAGGATAATTATCAGCGTCGGCAATGTACTAATTCCAAGGTAAAACGCTGGGAATGATGCTAACTATGAAAGCAGAGGACTTTGGATAAGGTACGCCCGATTAAATGGCCCTGACAACACGACCAAGTTGCAAAAATGAGGTTGTACCACTTTAAGAAAAATTGGGTTTCGAAGAATTCCACAACATTTATTTATTTATTTATCTTCCTATTGTGTCCACTATTCATTTACTTGTTCTACTGCTTGACTCGCTTAATTTCTCAACATGTCAAAATATGTGATTTTTATCAATCCTTCCCGCAAGACTGCCCACTACATTATGTAATGTAAGAAAGTATTCTTGAGAAAATAGGATAGAAATGATTTGATTAATCTTGATTTCTTTTTCGCCCCCTCTACTTCTACTTCTTGCCCTTACGATTCTCGTTTGTCATCTTCTGCTCCTTCTCCTTCTTCTCATTCTCTATCCCTTTCACCCTCTCACCTACACTTTTACTCTCATTCTTTCGCTCACTCTTCCACTTCCTCTCCCTCTCCCTCTCCATTACGATTACCCTCGTTCTTGCGTCCGTTTCGATGTCCCTCTTTTCACCTGCTTGTCTCGTCTTTGTTCCACAGATAGGATGGTTGGACGCTCTGGCCAAAGCGACCGGAGAGCCGTTCAACGAGAACGCAACCACCGTCTACACTACCGGAGGGCCGTCGATTCGTTCCAAGTACATAACAGCGCTCTACTTCACCGTGACCACCCTGACGAGCATCGGATTCGGCAATGTTGCCCCGAATACAAATGCAGAGAAGATATTCACCATCATCGCTATGATGCTCGGATGTGAGTTCAGAATTTGGTCACAAAAATTGGTACAGTTTTGTGATTATAGCCCTGACGTCTTGATCTTCCTGTACACCAACAGGACTCGAATAAGCTATCTCAAATCTGAAGTCAGCCTCGAAGGAAAACGATCTTATTTAAGGTCATATATGAAAAATATGGGAGATGTGCTTGCCCTATTCCATTTAAGATTATTAAGGAACTAATAGTCAAATTTTTTCACAATCATATCAATAGACAATACGTTTCCATTGAATTTCACATCGCTTTGCTTTCCCAAAAGCTATTCTCATCCATGGAAAAGCAATGCTATGTGAAATTCAATGAGGGTAACGTAAAGTACACTCATGTGATTTTGACAAAATTACCAGCTTAAAGGAAATAAAGGGGGTGCATTTCAAATATTTGTTCTACTGATAGCCTCGAAAACCTACTTATAAACATGAATGGAAAAGTTTTCGTCTTGACAACGTCTTGACAACCATGGTCAGTCGATTCGGCAGATTCACCAGCCGGCATCAGCGCCAAGGGATACCGGATTGCCTCATTTAGCAAATGGTATGAGGTAAGAAATGTGGTAATGGCAATAATTCGGCCGTAATTTTCGCATTAACATTGACTGAAGGGGGGCTGTGTGGTGCAGTGAGCATTCGCATAGCATAACTCTTTTTGATGCACGTATTCTTTTCTGTGAAGCGTTTTCAAAGAGTTTGTTGTCATTCGCTTCAGTCGGACATCTGCCCATGAATGCAACCTCATTCCGAATGCCTGACCAGATTTAAGGTGCCACCTGAAAGATGAGAATTGCAGGAATCATACGACGCGAAAAGACGGTGAAGCTATACAGGCTTATGCATGAAGTGAGTTGAGAGAAGGTTGAGCAAATGCTTGGAAAGATGAGAAGACAAAAAATTAACATTTTAGATGGATGATGGATGAATAGGCAGTAGATAAAATGAGGATATGGACAGTTGGACGCCTAGTTCGAACGATGGGCCTTTATGATTAAAAAGACAAACAGAAAGAAAGAGCATTTGATAGAAGTGGAGCAGTGGACAAATGTAGGCAAGAATAAAAAGGATCAATGGACAGAACGATATTCGCGAAGACTAGCGAAAATAAATGAAAATATGAGGATAGCTGGATGGATGGTTAGATAGATAGATAGACAGACAGACAGATAGATACATTTGCAAATAATTGATAGCTGCTGGAAGATGGACGGATGGATGGATGAGCAGATGAAAACGATGTTAGGTGAAAATGAGGATACAATTACTGGTACTCATGTGTATAATAAAGTGGCTGAGTGTTTGATAGTTCGAGTCCATAGGTTTGTGTTGAAGGGACGAAGGCGAGCTCGAAACTG